ATCATGTAACTTCTTGGCGCTCTTGTGAGTGAAGCAGTGTGTTTCAGGGAGACTAAGTACTTGACAAGGCTAGCAGACCTAACTGGATTCCACTTAAGTATTTCACTTCAAAGATCTTTTAAAATGGACCTGTGTGTGTGTGTGTGTGTGTGCATGAGTGCTTGAGTGCTTTGCATGCACGGCGCAAATCAGAAAACAACTGTAGGAGTCAGTCTTGTGATTTGGGTGCTGGGCAGTCCAGTTTAGATCATCAGTCCAGCATCCAGGACCAGCTGGTGCTGGCAGCTGGACCCTCTCGCAAACTACAGTTTTAAGTCTTGCTTTTCTTTTCTGAGAGCAATGAGTTAGTGAAACAACTATTTCAATTAGTTGTTTTTCACACGTAAGATTCTATTACTCCTTTTCCCCCCAAATTCAAGTTTATTTGGATTTGGGGAAGTAGTTAACTGTGTTACCAGGATTCATAGTATCCTCTGTGTACAGAGATGTTTCCATGAGACTCTGACTTATACACCGACATACTGTAGCATCTCCAGCCACCCCAGTGCTCGATTAAAGGCACGTACCACCATAGCATGCTGCCTTCGGAATATGTTTTAATCCATGTTGGTACTGAGTCGGGATACTAATGACTGATTCATGTTTACTCACAGAAGGCAAATGCAGCTAACTTTATAAGTCTTAGTGTTTCCTGCGCCTTTAATCCCAGCACTGATCTCTGAGTTTGATGCCAGCCTGGTCTACTTAGTGCGTTCCAGGACAGCCAGGGCTATGTTGAGAGACCCTGTCTCAAAATAAATGAATAAATAAAAAAATCTTAGTTTTTTTTTCCGTAGGCATCTTCCAGGTCAGCTCCCATAATAACATGATGGAGGGGTTTTCCTCACTTTTCCAGTTTACAAATGTGTGTAATCTGGTGGTGTGTCTGTGTGAGTGTGTGTAATCTGGTGTTGTGTCTGTGTGAATGTGTGTGATCTGGTGTGTCTGTGTGAATGTGTGTGATCTGGTGTGTCTGTGTGAATGTGTGTGATCTGGTGTTGTGTCTGTATGAATGTGTGTGATATGGTGTGTCTGTATGCAGCACTGAGCATTGACTCTGGGGCCTTGAGTCTGCTAGTAACTACTCAGCCCTTTATTCTATTAGAGATGGATGGAGTTCTGCCTAGCTTGTCCTTATTTGAAGTCTTCCCTCCTCATCAGTGTTTGTGTGATACTTGTAGTTTTCATTTTTTTCAAGAACAAAAGCCTTCTTGAATATGTGACAAGTGGCATTTAGCATTTATTTCCCAATTTTTAATACTGTTTAACCACACCCAGGGGATTTATGCGCATGCTCATATACATACCTATATACATATACATATGTGGGCAGTAAAGGTTATGGTTGTTACAAGATTAAGATTTAGATTAAATTATCAAGGACTTGACATTTCTCTTCTCTTTCAAAAAAAAAAAACCCTTCTAGTTATTGAAAGAAAACCTTGAGAGGTGTTGGACCGGTACTTTGGGAGCGGTTACCTTTGAAACCCAGAAAAAGAATCTTGCTGCAGAAAACCAGTATTTACGAATATCTCTGGAGAAGAAGGAAAAAGCCCTGTCTTCACTGCAGGAAGAGTTACGGCAACTCAGACAGCAGATTGGATTGTTGGAGGATAAAGGCACAAGTACCCAGTTAGTTAAGGAGAACCAGTTTCTTAAGGAGTGCTTAGAAGTGGAGAAACAGAAAACAAAGAGTTTCCTTAATGAAAGGGAGACTCTGTTAGAGGAAGCAAAGATGTTGAAGAGGGACCTGGAGAGAGAACAGCTCACAGTTAAGGCTCTGCGGGCAGAACTTGAGCAGCCAGTCCCTCGCCAGGCACAGGAGCATGCAGATTGTCCTAGTGTGCGGACTGAAGAGAAGGAAGTCGTGTTGTTACAGCAGAGACTCATGGAGTTGGAGCAGAAGCTAACCTTCGAGCAGCAGCGCTCTGACTTGTGGGAAAGACTGTATGTTGAGGCAAAAGATCAGAACGGGAAGTCAGAGACCGAAGGGAGGAAGAGAGGAAGCAAAGGAAACCAAAGGGCAAAGAGCAAGTCGAAGGAGACGTTCCTGGGGACAGTTAAAGAGACATTTGATGCTATGAAAAATTCTACCAAGGAGTTCGTGAGGCACCATAAAGAGAAAATCAAACAGGCCAAAGAAGCTGTGAAGGAAAATCTGAAGAAGTTCTCAGATTCAGTCAAGTCCACTTTTCGACATTTCAAAGATACCACCAAGAACATCTTTGATGAGAAGGGCAGTAAGCGATCTGGGGCTTCAAAAGAAGCAGGAACTGAGAAGCCAAGAACAGGTTATGGTTTTTCTTTGTACTCACTGCACGAGGTACTGAATCAGAACCAGAATGGCAGAGGCCCTTCTGCACAGAGGGATGGAGGGAGAGAAAAGCCCAGTCACTCAGAAGAAATTAGAAAAAATGCAAATTCATACACTTTCAAGGATACCCATTCCACCAGAAGGGGTTGTTCGGGTATGTTTGAATGTGCCGGGCAAGAATCTGCTAGCCCTGTTAATGCAGCGAGTCCTATCAGGATGAATGACTTCAGAGAGCTGATTCAGTGGTACTTACTGAATGAGTTGGGCACTTTTCACCACTGGAAAGAACTGGATCAGTTCATCAGTCCGTTTTTCCCGGATGGTGTCTTTAGACAAGACCAGAAGCTCTTCGCCCACTTTGTTGGTGCCGTGAAATGCTACCTTAAGGGACTAAAGGAGTATCACGTAGAGGATGACCGTTTGGAGAAGTTGGACGGATACATATATAGACACTTTGGGCACAATTCTGCCCTTCCATTCGGACCCAGGTCGGTTTACATAAAACTATGTTACTATAATAGATTCTAAGAGTGGTATATTGCATAGTGTTTTTTTTAATCGCTGAGCTTCTTGGCAGGTTACTGTTTGTAAGAGGCAAGCTTTTGTACTACTGAAATTCTGAATAAATTGGAAAAGTTTTAAAACTTAAATATTGCAAACTGAAAAATCCATTGGCTTGAACAAATGATTAAATTATACCTTAAAAATTAGTTAAGAGTATATTAACTTATTTGAGCCAATTTGGTTTCTTTCAGTGTAGTATAATCTTTGATAGGAAGCTAGAACAGATTTTAATGTCAAGTTTAGGTCATGTGCAGCTGCCCCTCTGTCATCATTGTTGGTTTTATGTGACAGTAAGAGTACTCATTGATCGGTCACTGTAGAAAAGGGTGGTGGATGGTCAGGAGCCACAATGCTCCATAATCAATCCTGTGTGCATTGTCCTTCAGCTTTTTATTCTGTAACTGCATGTATGTGGTGTTTACCTTTGAGATTCACATAGTTCCATCTTTATGAATAAATCAAGTGTGCCTATAAAATAATGAGACTGGTTTCTGATGTCTTTAGTTCCTGAAGCAGGTGTCTAGTGCTGTGCCGAGCAAACCCCTGGCTCGTTAGGAATTAGGTGTGCACCTAGTGGCATCACGGTGTAGTGACCTCAGGGCAGTCTGGAGATGGCCAGGAATGCTTCATGATTGAAGTAACCTTGCCTCTAAACTGGCTTTTGGAAGAGAAGTGAGGGTTAGTTCGTCCACAGGGAAGGCATCTTACTGGAATGGAAGGTCATTTGCAAAGGTGTGGAGGAATGAAGACCTACTTCTTTACAAACAGGTGGGCTGGAGGGAATTAGGAAGGTCTCTACTTTGTCCTGAAGTGTCTGTCTTGTGAGATGGAAAATTCCTGAAGGATTTTGTCATGGGGTGGGATTGTGCCTAGCCCTTTAGCTGACTGGTAGCAGCCAAGAGGATTGATTGGCAAGCTGTGAAACCAGCTGTGGTGTCTGCACTGATGAGGTGGGAGGAGACAAGATACATTTAAAACAGCGCATAGTAAAACAGTTATATCTTATATAAAGGGAATAGAAAGGAAGTGATTTCCATACATCTGGAATGATATTACTCAGAGAATACCAGAAGATGCTAAGCAGAGGATCCAGAAGCGGATTGGTTTTGGAGATGCCTGTTGACATTTATGTGGAGAGGATCCGTTAGCAGTTAGTTACCTAGCATTCATTGACTCACTCCAAAATCAGTCCCCATTGGAAGGGCTGTGCAGGGACACTGACAACTGTGCCATTGTAGAGAAAGCCAAGCAAGCAAAGACTGCATAGCGAGAGCACAGGCACCCAGAGGTGGGAGTCGGTGCTGCGCTGAGGAGTGTGGGGGTTGCCATGGCTCTGTGTGAAGCAATGGTGGCAGAGTGCAGGGAAAGTCAGACAGCTTTGCTTTGCAAGTGTGCGTGTAGATTTCGGCTGAGCCATAAAGCCAATGGGCACGACATTTTTTTAAACTGGAATAACGGAACATCTCATTATTTTATTGTCACATCCTGTTCCTCGTTACTTCTTTGGTTTCCCCTTCCAGCCGGTACAGTTGTATTTATCTCTATTTTTTTTCCTTCATTGTTGAAAAGTAGTGAATTCCCCCTTTCCTGGTATTATAATAGAATTATATTTTGTATTTTATCTTTTTGCAGTGCTCAGATAGTAGATTAATGGAGAAAAGCATTAAGTTATTTTTACTTTTAGAAAACTGAACTCTAACATAGATAAAAATGTGTTTACTGCTTTCAGTCGACCTGATAAAAAGCAACGCATGGTAAATATTGAAAACTCCAGGCACCGAAAACAAGAGCAGAAGCACCTTCATCCACAGCCTTATAAAAGGGAAGGTAAATGGCATAAAAACAGTCGCACTAATGGAAGACACACAGCAAACCTTGAGATAGAACTGGGGCGGTTACCCTTTGATCATAAATACTGATTCATGGTTCAATTAGGAAATTTAGAGGAGTGGATGCTTTCGCCTTTGTTTGGTGTTGAAATTAAGGTGAAACCCCCAAGATGACTGTCTTCATTTCTAGAGACTGGTTTGATGGCTTTATATTATGCAAAAGCAAAGCTTACTAACTTGCATTTTCCTATAGCTTAGGTTTGTTAAAAACTTTTTTTTTTTTTTTGCTCTGGGAAAAAAAAAAGTAGTTTTATTAAGGAAGCCAGGCATGAAATACTCTGTGCATGAAACAAGGCTTGGTTTCAGTAGCTGAGCTCAGCTCATACAGGGCAGGAAGTGCCGCCATCTTGGTGTGCAGTATGGCTTGAGGAATGAGCTGAGACAAGGACCCCCTCTAACGTGTGTTCTACTCTCACGCTTTTGTCTCTCTGTGGGATCAAGAGCCCATTGGCTTGTGAAGAGCTTGCTGACTTGTTCTTGTGAACGCTCTTGCACACCTGAACACTGGAAGAACAATAAACTGCACCGTGAGGAAAACTAAAGGTCTCTGTCAAATCTGGCGTCGTACTAGTGTTTTCTCAGAATGCCTTGGTACAGTAGATGATACAGCCGCCCCCAAGTGGCTTCCTCTTCATTTCCCGAATCACTTGAAGTTCCCCTGAGCATCTCTGCAGCCGTCCTCACAGTTCATTCCCTCCTGTGGCGACGCTGCCGTGTAACCGTCGTTCATAGACATGTATGTGACTTCCAGTCCGACCCTCTGGCCAGTGCGTATGGAAGACAATAGCGGTCCTCTCATAGCTCCCTGAAGTGAGGAAGGCGCGGATCTCCTACAAGGAAATAAAGACACGTTGGTCAAGTGCAGTTTCAAAGAAATGTAGAGTTGCCAGCTATAATTTCTCCTTTGTGACTTTTTTCTTCATGATTCATGCAAGATTTCTACTTGTGGAAGCTAAACATATTTAGTGAGCTGCAGAACTAGGGCTCTTTCCTGGGGAAAGACCAGTTATGGAACATGGGGTTGTGATCATTAAATTTTATCAACTTCACTGGATTAAGAAACCATTGGAGGGGGGGCTGGAGAGATGGCTCAGAGGTTAAGAGCATTGTCTGCTCTTCCAAAGGTCCTGAGTTCAATTCCCAGCAACCACATGGTGGCTCACAACCATCTGTAATGGGATCTGGTGCCCTCTTCTGACCTGCAGGCATACACACAGACAGAATATTGTACACATAATGAATAAATAATTTTTTTTTTTAAAAAAAGAAACCATTGGAGGGCGGGGGGGTAGGGGCAGAAGTGGCTCGGGTCATGGTTGCTGACCTAGCATGAGGATCTTAGTTTGGACCCCTAGCGCACACAGAAAATGGGGCATGGTAGCTGGGTGAAGTGGCACAGCACGTCTTTAGTACTATGTAGCTCTTTGGAGACAGAGGTAGGTGGGCTTCCGTGAATTCCAGGTCAGCAGGGCTACACAGTGAGAGCCGGTCTTACCTGTAGTTCTAACACTGGGTCATTGGAGTGGGGGCAGAGATAGGATTCTGGGGGGATGTTGACAAGCTATAGTAGTTATGCTCCAGGTTTAGTGAGAGACCAGACTCAGAAAATGAGGTGGAGATAGACAGACAGGAGGAGACATCAACTTAAACCTCTGTCCTTTCCGCATGTGTATACAGGAACATGAATACACACTGAAGAGTCAAGACAGGGAGCAATGAAGCACATCTGGTGAGTGTATGTGCCTTACACAATTGAGGGAAGACCTGTCCTGGTATGGATGGCACATTCCTGTGGGCTGCCGCCCAGTCTGCACAAAGAAAAGGGGAGAACAAACTGAACCAGGACATCCCCCCTTTTTAAGATCCTGCTCCATAGACCTGGCAGGCTCAGATTCCTCCGCTGCACCACCCATGGGGTGGTGTCCCGAACACGAGCCAGAATAAGTCCTTCCTCCTTAAGCTAGTGTTTTGCCAGGCATTTGCCATAGCCATTAGAAGAGTAGCTCACACAGAGGAGCAAAGGGATCAGTGAAGCAGATGGTTGCTAATCCGTTTAAAATGCCGAGTTGGCTGTTTCAAGTGGACATACCTTCTCCAGAACACTGAAGGTGACCAAGTGAGTGGGGAGAGATGCATTGCTTCGAAACTCTTGTTGTAGCCAGCTTAAGGGATTTAGGTAGAACATATCTGCTTCATCAAGATACTGGGATTTTCCAGTCAGGTCTGGAGGACACTGGAGAAACCGCATGGACAGTGGGCAGTGAACGTGGCTGTGTAGAAAGGTCACAATAGTTAAGCACCCCAAGTTTCCACATTGTTTCAGGCTGACCTTGAACTTGCAGGACCTCAGGCAGAAGTGCCTCCTTACCTGTAGTAAGGAGTGGAGTGGCAAGGCATCATGATGAACACGGAGGCTGAAGCTGGGTCGGGACCTCTGGGGCAGATTTGCTGAATGTGACTCATGACATCCAGAGTGCCCCTCTGGTGAACTAGGCCAGTATAGAGAGCCAGCAGCATATTTGACAAAAGCAGGAAACTCAGCGCTGCCTTCCGCCACGCCTTCAAGTGGGCTAGTGAGTATCCTGCATGGGGATGGGCAGAAGGAAGTGGAACGCGGCGGTCTTGCTTTTCTGTTATGAGTTCATCTGTATGCAATTTTCCGTGCAGACAGTATAAGCCGTGGCAAATAATGAATCGGCTTCTCTGCTCACTCACCACCATTGTACTCTCAGGCAGGAGCTAGCCTTTTTCTGCTGAGGCAAAGGTGTGGTGTGGGTAATGGCTGTCCAGGCTTAACCTGGCAGACAAAGTCTGAGGGCGTCTGACATCTAGGATTTACAGGGGGATTTCTGAAATTGAATGATGCCAAAGACAGTTGGAAAGAACCAGTATCATGGCTAGCCTGGACTATGATGCAGTACAGGAAGCAGCACTGTGTGTTCAGTCATACCCAGTTGGATCCCACCACGTAATGGGGCTTTTTAGTTCCCTGTAACATGGAGGTGTAGTTCCCATAAACATCACTCTAAGAGCCTGCCTTGCTCCAGTTGCCTGGCCCTAGAAAAGATGCTTCTGGTTGTGGTGCTTGGGGCGTAGCTAAGTGCCAGGATATTTGCCTGGCTTCCATCTCATGCATGCACAAGGTACAAACCCCTTTGTGTAAGTTAGCTCTTTCTATGTGTATGGGTTCTGTGGGCTCAAACATAGGTGCCAGGAAGTTTAGATTGTGCAGGAAATAAGGCTGTGTTTTCACCTACCACATGAGCACTAAATCCTACAAGAAAGATCTTTGTAGTGGAACTGTGAACTCAAGACACCAAAATTAACAGGGGAATATACAGTGTGAGGCAGCACACAGCAGTGATCCCAGCCAGTGTGGAGGTCTAGGCAAGAGGGTGCCAGTTAGCTAGCCTGGGCAATTAAGCAAAATCTTCAAGTTGAAGCTCTTGCTTCAAGGGACAAGGATTGGCCTGGAACTTTGGTTTCTTGTGCCTCAACTTCCCTAGTGCAAGGATTACAAATGTTTTATTTTTTCCCCTTAAGACAGGTGGTGGCCCACGCCTTTAATCCCAGCACTCGGGAGGCAGAGGCAGGCGGATCTCTGTGAGTTCGAGACCAGCCTGGTCTACAAGAGCTAGTTCCAGGACAGGCTCCAAAACCACAGAGAAACCCTGTCTCGAAAAACCAAAAAAAAAAAAAAAAAAAAAAAAAAGACAGGAACTTGCCATACACGTAACGCAGGCTGGCCTTAAGCAGCAATCCTCTGGCCCTGGCAGCCAGAGTGCTGGAGTGCAGACAGGTGCCCTCTTCCCTGACTTGTTGGCTCTAGAACAGAGGCCGTCTTGAAGCAGTGTATGAGCAATGTGGATAGGCACACCCGAACTCAGAACAAGTGCTCTGTCAGCGGGAGGCAAGGTCTCTGCGGCCAGCAGCGAACCACTTGATACCTACTACTACTTGGCAGCACATCAGCACAAGTGCATCTTAGCATCTCCACCTTGGGCAGATAAGAAACCAAGGCACAGTTCACGCTCTAAGGAACTCGTTATCCAGACCTAGTCTTAAAGGACTGAAATGAATTCTGCTTAAGTAGGTATGTGCCATTAGACTGAAAAAATCTTGCTGTTTTACTGCCTCTTGAATCTGGCCTGCTTTTGATTTGCTATGACCCAAAGACTGGTGGAAGGATCTGCAAATTTCAGATCCAGGCCTCCTTCCTTCCCACTCTTCCCTTGGGACCCACATAAGAAGCTCCACCTGACAGACCAGGCAGTGACAGGACTCAGGAGCCGATGTGTTCGGCCTACAGCTAGCCTGGTCCCACACATCTAGAGCCCTTGCTAGGCCTAGTGCTTTGTCCAGTTGGTGTGAGTGAGTGTGGCTGAGATGTGACTTGTAAGGATAAATGGCATCAAAAGTCACTAATTAGACAACGGTGACTGACAGGTCACAAGAACAGAAGAAGGCTTGGATTTGAAGTGCTTAGCAAAGACTTGATAATTCTAAGGGAGGCTGTGCAAGGTGCAGCAAGCCTGGCCTCCCGACACTGGGTGATCAGGAAGGAGGTCAAGGCCAGCCTGGATGACAGAGTGAGATTGCCAGCTAGCTCTGTCTCATCCTCTATCTACCCCTGGCAAAAAAAAAAAAAGTGGCGCGGCAGGTGGATCCTTGTTTTACCTCACGTAACACAGGAGGAAAGCTATTTAGAAGCTGGGAAAGGTGGCTCACATCAGTAACCCCAGCACTTGGTAGGCTGAGGCAAGAGGATGACCCTCGTTCAAGGCCAGCTGAATAGTGAGGTCCAGGTCAGCCCTGCCTGCAAAATCAGACAGCAAACACCCACAGATCATCAGATTACAGAAAGAAACCACTACAGTAACAGTTTCTGATAGGCAAGTTTTTATCTAGCCGAGTTGGAAATAAACTGGCACTGCCTTTAATGTTTTATACTCTTCTGAGACAGACAGGATCTCGCTATCAAAATCCCAGGCTGCCCTTGACTTGTGGCTCCTGCCTTTTCCTCTCCAGAGCGGGATCACAGCAATGCTGCCACATCTGGCTTCTCTTAACTATTTCTATCTTTAAGTGTATTCTGTATTAAACAAAACACTTACCACAGAACACCATGCAAAATGGTAAAACTGGATAGATAAACCTGAATTCTTTGTGGCCCAACACGCTATAATAAAGGATATTAAGGCAAAACATTAATTTTATACATTCCTGCGAAATCAGTGTATTTAAAATGAAATAAACATCTATTTTTCTAGCATCTGAGATGGAATTTTTTTAAAAAAGATAACGATTTTTCAATCATAATTCTCATTAGCCTCAAACTCTTGATACTTCCTGCTTTAGTTTGTGTTGTTGGCACTGCTGGTATTACACCATGCCTGGCTTCAGACTCAGAAATCATACTCATTTTAAAATAGAATGTGATTATGATTAAACAGTCTTGTCAGTGAGATTATGCTGTTCAGTTACACTTAGAAAAATTATATTACCAAGTCAATTAATCAATACTACTCAAATTTGAAATAAGGATACATTTATTCAAAAATATTTTTAAATGTTTGAGTGTGTGTGTTGGGGGTGGGGTGCTCATGCCATAGGGGGCGTTCGGTGGTCAGAGGACCAAGGACTCCTACCATGTGGATCCTGGCGATGCAGTTTTAGGGCTTGGTGGTATGTGCCTCTCCCTGCTGAGCCCTTTCCCCGACACTGGTCTGATAGTGAAGATTGTCACTGTCTGAACACCACACCCTTAATTGTTACTTCCATCTGCCATAACCTGAGGCTCTAGCCTCAGGAAGTGAAAGCCTGCTTTGGAATAGTTCAGAATCTCTTAGGAACATTGGAACAGTCACCTATGTGAACATAAAAGTCTTACCTGTACACCAGCAGAGTCCACAGCACGGTCAGCAGTAGTATGTGCAGCCTCCTTGGGGCCAGGAAGCAGCCGTGGATGAAGAAGGGTAAGTGGGTTCCCAGGACAACTGGAAACCCTTGACTGAAGTACCAGTGCCATGGATGAGAGCCATAAAATGTCCCCAAATTCTGCAGCACGTTAAATTTCAAGAAATTAAATTGGACCAACGTCCACTGGTATAAGTAAAAGAAAAAGAAAATAGTGTCAGAAACTGATCTTGGACCTTTGAATATTGGATAGAATCATGATATTAAATAATTTAAATATCAGGCAGCAGCCTTACATTAGTAATTCTAATCAATGACATGAAGTCTTGTTAATAACTTTTTTCCAAGACAGGGTTTCTCGGGGTAGCCCAGGCTACCCAGGAACTTGCTCTGTAGACCAGGTTTGTCTCAAACTCAGTTAATAATAAATCTAGGCTGCAGTGGAGTCTACTGCCCATAGTTCGGGAGCCTGTTTTGCAAACCAAATGAAGGGCAGAGTATTTTGGTTGACAGGATTTCTGGATGACTAAGGATTAAAATCATTAGACATCAAGATGTGTGTTATGGAAACCACAGCAGAGGACACCAGAGAACACAGCAGGAATGATTCAGTGGATTCTGTTATAACTAAAGATTTGCCTCCGTTCCCAAATATTAATGGGTCTGTTTGTGTTCTGAGGTGGCGTCTCTTGTAGCCTAAGCTGGCCTCCACCTCCTCCCTGTGCAGCCAGGGATAATATAATGCTGACCACCTGATCCTCCTGCCTTCTCAGTGGGAACCCACACCAGGCCGGTGTCATCACACCCAGATCGAAATACAAAAACATTACAAGTCTAGCTTGAGGTTTCAGAGCAGTAAATGGTTAAAAATAGCCTTTAGTTTAATCTGTTTTTACTTACTTGGCCAAAAAAGATGCGATCAATTATCAGAGACAAACTGAAGGTTATAAGTCTGAAAAACAAAGTAGAATGGTTACTCACATTTGAACCTGCTGGATTCCAGGCCAATGCCTTTTATAAACACTTTAAAAATGCTTTACAAGGGCTGGAGAGATGGCTCAGTGGTTAAGAGCACTGCCTGCTCTTCCAAAGGTCCTGAGTTCAATTCCCAGCAACCACTTGGTGGTTCACAACCATCTGTAATGAGATCTGGTGCCCTCTTATGACCTGCAGGCAGAATACTGTATGCATAATAAATAAGTCTAAAAAATGCTTTACAAGTTCACCAACAGGATTCATACGTTTTGAAAGATCTTTCACTGATGAGAAGCAAACTTAAGAAAAAATCCACTATTTTATCTATTCCTTTTTTTTGAAAAGATTTATTTATTAAGTATACAGTGGTCTGCCTGCATGTATGCCTGCAGGCCAGAAGAGGGCACCAGATCTCATTTCAGGTGGTTGTGAACCACCAAGTGGTTGCTGGGAATTGAACTCAGGACCTTTGGAAGAGCAGGCAGTGCTCTTAACCACTGAGCCATCTCTCCAGCCCCTATTTTACCTATTCTTAACTAACCAACCTGCCAACATAAAAATATGAATACTTATTATTTCAAAATTCCCAGGGTTTAAACAAGTTCCAGATGTAACTGGCCCCGGGTATATTACAAGAGATCAGCTTCCCAGCTCCCAGGGCTGCCAGCAGCTTCGTTATCCTTTCTCTTCTGAGATTGGACTGTCTTCCTGTGTGCGTGCTGAGAGTAGCTGTCAAACTGCTTTGGTTCTGTTTTGAAACAGTCTCCATTTTTAGTTATTTAGCTACAGACAGTGTCAGTTCCCATCAAATTGTCAACTTGTCACATCTGAGAACCACAATTGAGGAGTTGTCTCCATCGGATTGTCCTTTGACATGTCTGTGTGGCGTTTTCTTATATATTTACTGATGTCGTTGTGTACCCACTGTGAGCGGAGCCATCTTCTGGCCTATAGGCCTAGGCTTGTAAGAAAGGTAGCTGAGCAGTGCACAGGAAGCTGGTAGGCAGCGCCTTTGAGGTTTCCTTTCTTCAGTTCCCCCTCAGGTTTCTGCCTTGGCTTGCCTAGGTGATGGACTATAATTGTTATATTGTAATCAATCCTTTCCTCCCCAAGTTGCTTTTCTTCAATGTTTACACAGCAACAGAAAGCTAACAAGGAGACACAGCCATATAATTTTGTTTTGTTTTTTTGAGACAAGATGGCTGGCCTCACACTCAGAGACCTACCTGCCTCTACCACCTGAGTGCTCTGATTAAAGGTGTGAGCCACCACTGCTCAACAGAGTTTTGTTTTTGTGAGTGGTCCTGGTGGCCTTGAACTTCTGCCTCAGCCTCCAGAGAGACATTGCTTCATTTCCACCTTGTGATTTCTTCTTGGGATTGTGGCTAATGAAGGTGGCTTTTAGCTTTTGCATACTTACCTTTTTTGTTTGCTGATGGTCTAACTTAATTCCAATGTGATTATAAAGGATACTTTGTATGGTTTGTCTCTTAAGATGTATTGAGCCCAGGATGTGCATGATAGAGAAGCACTGAGCCACTGAGTACAACTGGGTGAGTTTCTGTTTTGTTTTGAGCATGAATCTTACCATGCAACCCTGGCTGCCTAGAACTCATAGATCCACCTGTCTTTGCCTCCCTAGTGCCGGGCTTAAAGATGTGTGCTACCACACCCTGCAAGATGAATCCCTTTATACTTAGTTCTACTACTTTTATATATATATTTGTGTATATGAGTGTTTTGTGTGCGTGCATGCATATGCACCATGTAGGTTACTTGTGGCCTCAGAGGTTAAGGACAGGTGTTGAATGCCCTGGAACTGAAGTTGTGGACAGCTGTGAGTCCCCATGTGGGTGCTGGGAACTGAACCTGGGTCCTCTGCAGGAGCGACAGGTCCCTTTCAGCCACTGAGACTGCAGCTCCCAAACTGGATAGTTTTGGAAGCTGCTAGGGTGTCTCCTCATTTGTTTGCAATTTTCCGTGTTTTGTGTCCTCTGGAGACGAGGTTCGGTTGATCATGTACTGTAGATGCCCATTGGTTTCTTCACAGTGGGTCTCAAAATGTCCTTTTGTTTTATTCTGTGCAGTGCTGAGTCAGCATGCAAGCGGTCTGCCATGGAGCTCTGCCTCCATCGCAAAGTTCCTTCCCTACTCAGATGTATCTTCTCAGGCTTTCTGTCCTGCTGGGGGATGCTCTGTTGAACCTGGAGGAGACACTGCTGATTTACCCTTACCGCAGCAGTCTCTACCTTTCTGACGTTGTGACCCTTTAACACAGTTGCTCATGATAAAAGACATGCTTGGAGTTGTTTTTTGGTTTTTCAAGATGGGGTTTCTCTGTAGCTTTTGAGCCTGTCCTGGAACTAGCTCTTGTAGACCAGGCTGGCCTCGAACTCACAGAGATCCGCCTGTCTCTGCTTCCCATGTGCTGGGATTAAAGGCGTGTGGCACCACCATACAAGGAAGATTTCCTTTTTAACTATGGTTGGAAGTAGGTTCAACTTTTTTTTTTCTGAGTTAATTAGGTGTGGTGGTTCAAGGTCACCCAGAAACTGAGGCAGAAGGGAATCTTTGAGTTCAAAGCCAGCCTGGTTAACATAGCATGTCCCTCCCAGTCTAGCCAAGGCTTCAGCGTAAGGCTGTTTCAAAAACAAAATAAGACAAAATAGGCCAGGCCTAGTGTACGTGCCTTTAATTACAGCATTCAAAAGGTAGAGGCAGGCCTGGGCTACATAGTAGGACCTTGTCTCAAAAAAAAAAAAAATTAGAACAAAACAAGAAACAAAAATGATTTCTGTTTGTGAAGCCCATTTTCCCATTATAAAGTCTGAGTGCTTGCATGATTTCCAAGTGGCCTTTGTTGCTGTTTGTCCTCCTAACATTTTCCCTCTGAAGGCCTTCAGTCTTCTGTATTCCCCATAAAGGCAGAGCACTGGGAGCTGGCTCAGTATCTGGCACTGCCCTAGAGGCCAGGCCTCATACAGGGGTCTGACCCCAGCTACTCAGAGAGCTGAGAGACACGGCAACTCCGTGCTCTGCTGGGCGAGGTCCACTCCCTGGCTGAGAAGACAGTCTGGATAGTCTACTGGATGCTGTGGTGGATGTCCTGCTGGGTGCTCAGGCCAGCTGTGTTAAACAACTCAACAGTTCCTGGCCCGCTGGCTTTGCTAATTTTAAATTTCTCCATGTTTCTGTTCACTATAAAATAAGAACACTAGCATTTCTTACACCCAAGAACATCATGGGGTCATTTGAGCAAAGCTGTTATAAGGCCCTTAATAAATAAAAGAGAAAACTTTAGGAAATAAAAGTGGAAATTCTAATAGACAGACACTTTTGTTTAACCGAAATAAAAAAAAAGTTAATCAGTCTCATAAATCTAAAATGGAATAGTGGGCCAATGGAATGGCTCAGTGGGTAAGGTGTTTGCCACAAACGCCTGCTAATTCAGTTCAATTCCTGGAGCTCATATGGAGAGAACCACTGCCACAAAAGTAGTCTGACCTCCGTGTGTGTGTGTGTGTGTGTGTGTGTGTGTGTGTGTGTGTGTGTGTGTACGCCTTTCGTCACGCACACACTAGTGTTTAAAAAAATAACAAACACAAAGCTGAAAGTTTTCTGTGACATTAGATACAAAATCTTTCCCACAACATGTCATGTTCAGGTTAATAAGATGTTATAGATGGCACCACGGCCAGACTTACCCTACAGGTAAAAAGTGATGCAGGGTCAGATGGCGCTTTCTCTGCTCTTGGTAGAAATGGCTGAAGAGTAACGGCACCCACGGGATGAGCGCTGTGGGGCGGACTATGCAAGCAAGTGCCACCAGGAGTGCGTACTTGACACTAGGAGCAAGGGAGGGGCGTTACAGGAGACTGGGAGACGGGCTTCAAGTTAGTCGGCTAGTTCCACTGAGAGAGGACTCCGGTTTGGGCCTTTGAGACAGGGCCTTAAATAGCTCAAGCTCATTTCCCCTTTCATGCTCTGAGCCTCCCTCCCAGGTGCTGGGGTTCCAGGCCTGCGCCACCAAACCTAGGTTAGCACTTTCAAGTAAGAAGCAGATTCCTAATACTAATTGTATGTACTTTAAAATACACGAAACTTTAATGCTGCTTCATTGGCAGGAAAATCATAAACATTCTCCTAAGCAACTATGTAAAAAAAAAATACACAAATCCTTTCTTTAGCAGACATTTAAGAAAATCCCGTTATTTATTCGTTGACGGCCTGAGTCCATACGACCTTGTGGAGTGGAGATGCAGCCCAGTGGAAGAACATTTCAGATCCTGGGTCTGACCCCAGGCACCGCTCCCGAGAAGGAAGGTGTTTTTGTTTTTCCAAAATTAGGTAAATTCTACTCACATGTATACACACATACACACACAAGGGTGTGTAATCCCAGCACTTCAGAGACCGACTGGGGCAGGTGAATCATGAGTTCAAGGTGAGGCTGCGCAGTTTAGAGAGTCACCCAAGAGTTGGGGTTGTAGGCATGAACCACCATGCCCAGGCAACTCTGTTTGTCTGTTGTGTAGCCCAGGCTGGCCTCAAACTTGCTGTATAAAAGATGGTGACTTTAACTCCTGATCCTCCTGCCTCTGCCTCCCAGTGTTGGCATTACATAAATGTGTGACCACCATGTCCAGATAGGGTCAGTGATCTTTCACAGACGACCCAGAGTTTCTCAAACTGAATGTGACAGAGAAAGTAGAGTAATCGGTAGTGAAACCACAGGATAGGGCCCAGCTAGGCCTCATCTTGATAATAAAACACTATAAAACTGAGTTCGAGCCCTCGGGTTATGGAGCACAACAGAACAGCCCATCCCCACAAACTGCCTATCTTTTTCACTTACAGTAGCCTCTGGCATTTACCCAAATCTAATGCAGAAATGACCTTAATGGACCATGGTGGTAGCATACACCGTTAGTCCCAGCACTTGGGAGGCAAAAGCAGGCCAAGCCTGGTCTACATAGTGAGTTTCAGGATAGCCTGGACTACAAAGTGGGGCCCTGTCTTAAGGAAAGGAAAATCTTGGTGCAAGAAGACTGAGGTGCACTGGCTTCTTTGTGGGCTTCCCAAGCCTCCTCTCTCTCTCCTCCGCCCCTCTCCCTTTTTGAGACAGGCTCTATCTATGTGGCCTTGGCTCTCTAACTTACTACTTAGTTGAAGCTGGCCTCAAACGCACAGATCTGCCTACTTCCACCTCAGTAAGTGCTGGGACTAAAGGCATGTGCCAGCATACCCAGATTTAGTACATTCTTTGAAATCAGGTTTGACTCTGGTGGTTTTCTACTGTGTGTAGATAAAACCCAAGGTGTGGAGCCTGGTTCCATCTCAGCCTCATCCTTGCTTGTTCCTCCCTCCCACACACTTGCTCCCCACACCGCCTGTCTAGCGCCTACAGCTCTCTCAGCTCCGTGATTCTGCTCAGACATTTCTCTCTGCTTGGTCTGGGTTTTTTTTTTTTTCTCTCTCATTATTTAGCTCTGCTGACCCTCACCCGTGCTGGTCAGTGGACCTGCAGGAACACTTAGCCTGCCTTCTGATTGCTGTAGGGAACCGGAAGGCAGTCACAGCTTGAGTGAGGAATACTTATTCTCCTGGCTGATTCCTTGTCATTGCTGAAGGCTAACTATACCCTTCTTCTGTGGGGACCTTCCAGTAGAGAGAGCTTGGCAAGGATCCAGTACTCTTTCTTCTAGTCCTTTGGAGCCCACCAATAATAGGCTGCTACTTCAGTGAGCTCTGGGCACTACTGGATGTCCTTAGCACCGTCTACACCTTGTAACCAGCCATCTTTTAAGATTCACCATGCAGTGTGACCATTTTCTTTTTTTTTTATTAATTATTTATTAAAGATTTCTGCCTCCTCCCCGCCACCGCCTCCCATTTCCCTCCCGACCATTTTCTGTTACACTCATCGGAAACCTTTGGTTCCTCTAAGTCCCATGAACACGTGGGGATCTACTAGATAGAAAATGTTGATGATACTTGGGGTTTTTCCAGAGCACATCCTAGAACTCCTGTCTTACCTGTTCATGGACCTCGAGCCTTCCAGGGGATAGTAGAAGAGGGCAATTGCAGTGAGGGCAGTCTCCGTGGTGTTCGTGAGGGTTCGGGTGCAGCAGTACCACGTGAACCAGGAGCACAGCTGGCAAAAAAACTAAGAAGTCAGGAGTGAGTAGGGCTGCAGTAGGAAATGGACCAAGTGTTCCGTAGAAAGCACGGTTCCAGATGCTACAGAGGCTGTGTCAGAGGGGAATGCCTGAAAAGTAGGCGTGGCCAGCCGCTGTTTTATCCTGTGCTACTCGCCGCTCTGATAACAGATTTGCATGTCTTAATGCTAAGTTGGTAGTGGTTTTGGAAGGTTCTGATGGAAAAAAAAAAAAAAGAGCCGGGCAGTGATGGTACACACCTGTAATCCCAACACTTGGGAGACAGAAGCAGGCAGATCTCTGAGTTCAAGACCAACCTAGTCTACAAATCGAGTTCCAGGACAGTCAGGGCTACTCAGAGAAACCCTGTTTTGAAAAACCAAACAAACAGAACAAAAAGGTTCTGATTTTCATGATGGAAAAGATTTTCCTTGAGGAGAACTCAGGGAAGGTCTCAAAGGTGGGCTGCCATCTCTGCTTACCACTTCACATGTGCCTTTGGCAGTGCGCATAAAACATAAACACAGTTGCCATGGGGATGAGTCTGTGTCTGAATCGATTAGCAGGGACTTAGTCACTAAGCTAATTGTCTTTATACAAATGTAAAACACAAAACAGACCAAGGCGTTAAGAGCACTTACTGCTCTCTTAGAGGACAGGAGTTCAAGTCCCAGCACCCTGCCACTGGCTCACAAACACCTCTAACTTCAGCTGCAGAGAATCCCACACCCTCTTCTGGCCTACATGGGCACCACATTCAGACACACAGAAAATAAAACACATCTTAAAATGTAAAGAAACATAATGTCAGCACACATAGGCCCTTCCTCCAGGTTACTAATACATCATAGTCCAGAAATGGAAAGCTTGGAATTTAAAGTGTATTTTGTGATAGAAACAAAATCAGTAGATGGGCAAATGGTTCACGTGGGCAGAGTGAAGTAAGGAAACTGTGGCACTACACAGTCCAGTCCCCCATTGGGGGAACAGTTTGACTGGGAGATACAAGGCAGAAGGGTCTCTGTGAATCTGAGGACAGCCTGGTCTACATAGTGAGTTCCAGAACAGGCAGGGCTATGTAGGGAGATCCTGTCTCAAAAACGAAAGAAACACAAGAAATAAAACAAGATGCTTTTTCAGGCCATGCCCTCCCTTACACAAGCCCAGTTCCTTCAGGCTCTCCAGCTAGAGCTGTGCTTCAGTAAAGGGCTTTCTCGGGCAATCCTCAGGGCTGGGGGGACAGCGAACATAGGCTGTAAAAGCAGCTTCCAGAATGTCCAAAGACTAAGGAAAGAGATGAGGACTCTGACAGTTTAGATGCCCAAAGGATTCCATAACCGGCTTTGGGATCCGGCCTGTTCCACTTGGGCCTCAGTCGGGAGATGACATGTACCACTCAGATTTTACTGTTCTTAATTACGGAAGAATTTCCAGGCAGTCCCAGGGACCAGCAGTTTTGGGGCCGGTCTGCCCACGCATGCTCTGTCAAATGTCTACAGTGTTGGGACTTACCACCCACCGTGCCACTTCCTGGTTTCCCACATGCTTCAGGAGCGAGTACAGCCTGACATCCGCTACAGCAGAGAGAAGAGCTTGGCCCAGTCTGGGAATCCAGATCTTCGGTGGGTGAAAAGGAAAGGTTTGTTGAGCACATCATCCTGGTTCATACTGAACTGCCATAAAAGCAAAATCCTAACCATCCGCAGAAAGCCACCCTTCCATCTCCATAGTCACTCAGGCGTGGATGGTGTGTGTGGTGTATGCTTAGCTTGCCGGCTCTTGCTTGCAAAGCAGCCCCTTCCCCATCTTTTGGAAAGGCTTTGCTATGTAGCCCCGCTGTCTTTTTCTGTCCCAGCACCCCCAAGTATTGGGATTTACAAGTGTGAGACACCATACCCCACTTACCCATTTTTATATTTATGTATATCTTCCAACACTAATACACTTTGTGATAGTCGGCACTGAACCTAGGGCCGTGTGCATGTTAGACAAGTGCGCTATCACTGAGCTCCTCCTGAGCAGCTTGAAACCATTTTATTGTGTTAAGATTCAATTTTAGGGCGGTGGTGGCGCACACCTTTAATCCCAGCACTCTGGAGGCAGAGGCAGGCGGATCTCTGCATTAGCATTCAAGGCCACCTTGGTCTACAAGAGCTAATTCCAGGACAAAGCTACAGAGAAACCGTATTTTGAAAAACCAAACCAAAACAAAACAAAACACTTGTTTAGGGCTGGAGAGATAGCTCAGAGATTAAGAGCACTGGCTTCTCTTCCAGGGGTCCTGAGTTCAGTTTCTCAGCCACATCACCAACCATCTGCTATGAGATCTGGTGCCCTCTTCTGGCCTGCAGGCACACCTGCAGGCAGAACACTTTGTAATAAGTAAATCTTTAAAAAAAATTTTAAAGAAAGATTCTCTTTTAGAAGCATACGGTAGTTTTGTTTTTCAGTCAAGCATTTACAGTACTGTGTGCTGGGTATCATAGCAGGTGTTACATGCACTAGCTCATTCCTTCAACAACATCTAACATAAGCCCACTGAGACTTGCTTAACACACAGGAGACCAAGGCACAGAGAGGTTAGGCTATGTGCCCGAAGCTCTAGAGCCAGTTAGCATTGATGCCTGGATTCAGACCGAGGTAGACCTGATACCGCAGCCTGGGCTCTTAACAATAAAAGTTTTTATTTTATTTTATTTGGTTTTTCGAGACAGGGTTTCTCTGTGGCTTTGGAGCCTGTCCTGGAACTAGCTCTTGTAGACCAGGCTGGTCTCGAACTCACAGAGATCCGCCTGCCTCTGCCTCCCGAGTGCTGGGATTAAAGGCGTGCACCACCACGCCAATAAAAGTTTTTCAATCCAGGGCTGGAGAGATGACTAGTGATTAAGAGTGCTTGCTGATCTTTCAGAGGACCCAAGTTCAGTTCCCAGTGCTAAGGTCAGGAAGCTCACGGGTGCCTCCCAGCTCTAGAACATCTGAACCTTTCTTCTGGCCTCCAGCACCAACATTTGTGTTCCAAGCACACATGAATAAATGAATCTTTTTTTAAAAAAAATTGATTTTTTTTGGAGATGGCCTCAGCCACTGCAAAGAGAGGCACAGCGCTGTGTCAAACAAGCTAATCCAGAGCCTCAGTCTTTCTAGGCGCCACAGAGCACCTCAGAACTGGATTCCCTTTGGAATGCTGGGGCCTGGTTTTCCCTGACCAAAAAGAAACAGTCCAAATTCCTGGGTCCAACTTGATGACAGCCTAACAGATCCTGAGGGCTGGCATGTACCCCAGTGGAACCTGCCGGCGTGCACCTCAGTGGGACCCACTGGCAGGTAGACATGTACCCCAGTGGAACTTGCTGGTGTGTATCTCAGTGGAACCTGCTGGCAGGTAGGCGTGTACCTCAGTGGAACCTGCTGGCAAGCTCAAGGGCTTGGTTTGGTTCCCTCCTGCTCCTCTTCCAAAGGATCCTAAAACTGAGAGTCAGACTAGACAGACTTCTCAAGTCCTGTGCACAGCCTCCTCTTAACAGCCCCCGGTAATCCATAGCCTAGAAACTGCAGCCTTACTACATAGCACAGGAGTACATCTGGATTTAACAATTTTGGTCACTTTAATTTAAACTTACCAGCAATTGAACACTGTCTTTCCCCAAAAGATGCAGAATCTTGTAAATGCTCGCAAAGATGAGGGGGTAAGTGTAGCCCCTCAGTCTCTCTGTCCATTCCCAGGTCAGATAACCATAATTACTAATATCAAGGACCAAATAGCAAATAGTACTGAAAAAATAATTTGTACTTCTCTATATAAAGCCATATTTTTTTTCTTTGACAATGAAGTTTTAAAACAATTTTTTGTTTTGATGGTGGGAATTGATCGCCAGCTTTGGACATGCTAGGCAGGTAGTGCACCACTAAACTCTACCCTAAATCTTAAAACACAGAGTTGAATACTTGATCAACTGAAGTCTAATTTCCTCAAATTAGAAATGTGTTTCGCGAGTCCAGCACGGTGGCACAGGCCTTTAATCCCAGCACTTGGGAGACAGAGGCAGGTGAATCCCTGTTAGTTCAAGGTTAGCCTGATCTACAAAGCATGTTCCAGGTCAGCCAGTGCTGTTAGACAGAGGAACCTGTCTTGAAAAAACCAAAGAAAAGAACTATAAAGGATATCTGAAGACCATGTGGTGTGCAACTTCAAGAGACTGCCAGTATTCATCAGGAACAAAACTTGTTTGCACTAGGAAGCAATTAAGTATTCGCAGAGCAACGGTAAACAAGACCAGGTAAATGCTTTCTCCAAGAAGACCTGAAAAGCAAATCAAAGTAGTGACTGTGGCATTAAAGTCATGCAGCTCCTCCTTCAGATACACAACTGTGGCATCCCTGGCTCTGGCTCCGGCTCTGTTAAGGCCCCTCACACCACTCCACAAATGTTACCTAGTGATTTACTGCGAGTTAGCTAAGGGTGGGACTCTTGCTTAGCCTGCTTGAGGCCCTGAGTGTGTTCCCTAACAGTGTGTGGGGAGCAGGTAACAACCCATGAACACCTCCAACCACTGCAAAAAGACAGAAACCCCACTAGGGGGCGGAGACACCCCCCCCCCACACCCCTGTTCACCACTAGTGATTCCTTAACCGAATATCCCCCGACCTGGCCCTGCCACTGGTGATTCCTTTCGGATGTGAGGAAGGTAAGGCTCAGAAAACTGCTTTGCCCAAAATAAAAACGCTGTTACTGACTAGGTAGTATTCAAGACCAGGCCGGTCGGCCACCTCCCAAGTTTGCTTTTCAGCTGCATGCTGAATACAGAATATTTTCTACTTTAGTTGTTAACAGTCCGTGTGTATATGAGTGTGGGAATCAGATTTTGTGTTAAAATCTGTTATGCCTGGTGTGATCATGTCATCACCGCACGTCAATGGGGAGGCTGAGGCAGGAGGATTGCGGCAAGTCCAAGCACAGCCTGCACCGCACAGCGAGGACACTATCCAGCGAGCTTCAGCTCGTTCCCACTGCGATGCACAGCCCGCCAAGCCGCAGGCGTCAGGAGCCGTGAGCTCCGCGGCACACCCCGCACTCACCGCCGCGCTGAGAGCGCTTCTCCTGCGTATTCACGTACAGCGTGGACTTCCTCTTCCGTAGCTTCATCTCGCCGGAGCCTCTGTGGAGACTGCGGAAGGCCAGGCCGTGGTCGCCGGCCTCGGGCTCCATCACTTCCCAGCCACCTGCAGCCCGCAAGGAACCTGCCCCGCACCTTCTCCCGGGCGGACGCGCACCACTAAGATTGGGCCCGGCGAGCCGCCGTCGCGGGGCTGCTCCAGCCCATCCACAGCCGGAAATGCGGCCGGAAGCGGCTGAGTCTTTAGGTGGTGCTGGACTGCACCTACCTGGCTGGAGTTCAGTCCTGGAAAAGACAGAAGTAAGGACTGGACCCCTTACTGCTTCCGGCACCTCGCCAGCGCCCGCTGAGGAGGTAACAGAGCGGAGGGAGGCTGTGAAGCGCTGAGATCAAGCTCCCGGGTGACCTCGGCGCTCACCCCAGATGCCGCGTCCTCGCCTGGGAACCGTTCATCAAGGTCTTACAATGACAGGAGACAGAAAGTTATACGTCAGTAGATCTTTTAAATTAAATGAAGTTAAAAAAAAAGATTTATTATGTATACAATGTTCTGCCTGCATGTATGTCTGCACGGCAGAAGGGGACACCAGATCTCATCATAGATGAGATGGTTGTGAGCCACCTTGTGGTTGCTGCAGTTTGAACTCAGGACCTGTGGATTAGCAGCCAGTGCTCTTAACCTCTGAGCCCCACGTCAGTGAATAATTATTATTAATCTGTTTTTCACCACCCTCAGGGGATTTCTCTTCCAAATTATGCTACTTTCTCTTTAGTTCATTTTCTTTTTCCTTTTTTTAAAATATTTATTTATTTATTTATTTATTTATTTATTTATTTATTTATTTATTTATTTTGTATGCAATAATCTGTGTGTATGTCTGCAGGCCAGAAGAGGGCACCAGACCCCATTACAGATGGTTGTGAGCCACCATGTGGTTGCTGGGAATTGAACTCAGGACCTTTGGAAGAGCAGGCAATGCTCTTAACCTCTGAGCCATCTCTCCAGCCCCAGTTCATTTTCTTGAGTCGATCTCACTATATAGATTAGGCTGGCCTTGGACTCAAGAGATCCTCCTGACTCTGCATCGTGAGTGCTGGAATTGAATGCCTGCACTACCATACTCGGCTGCATATATTTATCTGACTTGGTGACAGGTCCTCACTATATAACCCTGGCTAGCCTAGAACTCACTGTGTGCACAGGCTGGCCTCAAACCTAGAGAGGTTTGCCTGTCTTCACCTCATAAGTGCTGGGATCAAAGGTATGTGCCACCATGCTGAGCAATCAAAGCATTAAAAAAAAAAGTTGGTGGGGGCTAGAGAAATGACTCAATGGTTAAAAGCACTGACTGGACTTTGAGAACTCCCTGGTTTGATTTCCAGTACCCGCATACTCTGAAGGCACCAGGCATGCATGCTGTTGCAGATACGTACATGAAGATGAACACTCATAAAATAAAACTTTTAAAAATGCATCCGTAGAAACATCAAGTAGATGGGGACGTCTGTGCTTCCGGCCTCAGATGCCTTCTGCTAACATCCTTAGCTTTTGAGCTGGTGGAAAGAAAGGGCCTGTTACTGCATCCCAGGATTTTACCTGATAGTTACAAAGATATTTGGCCACATACGGATGGCTAAAGTCCGACTAAGGGGTTAAAGATAGTCCAAGGTAATTTGACTTGAGGCCTGCAACATCCTGGCTCCTCATAGTCACTGAAGTTCTAATTAGTCAGCTTGTCTTTTAGAATGTTTAACGAATGTGTTTTGTTTTTGTTTGTCCAGGAAACTTCAGTTCATGAAACCCAAGATACAATTATCATCTTTTAAAAAGGAGGAAGGGGGTCTACTGAACAAACTGAGGTTCAAAAGACTCAGATTATTTATTTATTTGTTTATTTATTTATTTATTTATTGGTTTTTCGAGACAGGGTTTCTCTGTAGCTTAGGAGCCTGTCCTGGAACTCACTCTGTAGAACAAGCTGGCCTCAAACTCACAGAAATCTGCCTGCCTCTGCCTCCCAAGTGCTAGGATTAAGGCCTGTGCCACCACTGCCCAGTCAAAAGACTCAGATTTAACAACAACAACAACAACAAAAAAACCCAAAAGACAAAACAAGAAACCCCACTACATTAGAAACAGTTTCAAATGGCCTCTGGCTTTTGTTCCTTTTTTGTTTGTAAGTTCTTCGCCATTGAACCAAAGCAAGATTGGTAAAATTGTCATTTGTGTGGTCAACTGTGTAATCTAAGAGAAAACACACCTTCCTTTCCCTGATGAGCTTAAATTCCGTTTGAGAACCATTATAAAGTTTATAAAAATCAGCCGCTATTGACTTTTGTGACCCGGAGCCTAGGTTAAGAATCCAGAAAGTGTGTGGCTCCTTCGCTCTGCTCTTCTCATTCACTAACATCATACCAAGGTGATTGACAAACAGCACTGTTTTCTAGAAGATGCTATGTCCATTTGTGAGTTTCCACTATTTTCAGTTGTTGGAACTAGAAGCCAAATCTCCATCCTGTTTTTCTCAAAAAAGGCATGCAATGGTTTGCATTTGATGTCTCCGAAAATATCGAAAGGAACTCAACAAACTTTTTTGTTGTTTTGCCTTGCTTTGCTTTTTTTGAGATAGGATCTTACTATGTAGCCTTGGCTGGCTTGGAACTCACTATGCAGACTAGACTGGCCTCAAACGCAGCAGAGCTGTACCCCCCCCCCCCCCCCCCCCCCCCCCCCCCCCCCCCCCCCCTGACCGACCGCCCCCCCCCCCCCCCCCCCCCCGCCACCTATAGTGCTGGAATTAAAGGCAAGCAACACCACTCCTGGCTCAATAAAGTTTATAACTTCTTAAAAATTTTTGTCATAAAGCTTGCTAAAAATTATGACTACTGCAGAAGAAATAATGAAAAGTCGTTATTATTTATTTATTAAGCAAATTTATTATTAGATAAGATTTAAAATGAGACAATCATGTCTGACTTTCCTTCAGGTATCTTTTGGAGTAAAAAGTTTTGTATGACTTGCAAAGTGGTTGCCATCCCTTGCCATCTTTTTGCCATTTTAAAAGCTACCAGTTTACACACCCTGAGAAGACTAACGCGACTAGGGTAGTGGGATAAGCCTGTCATCCTGGCACTTTGGAGGGGAAGGCAGAACTGTAATCTCCAGAGCAGCCTGCCTATCTCGAAGAACCAGGACAAACAGGCAAACGTCAGGAACGTGCTGTAATAGGAGGGTGTTTAGCGTCCTCTCATGCCACCCTCTGCCCTTCATTCCCTTAAGTTCCTTTTTAAGACTTTTGTTGATTGGTTTTGCTTTTTGTTTGTCTGAGACCTGTTATTGTATTCAGACTGTCCTCAAACCAGCATAGAGGGAAAGAGTGACCTTGTGCTCCCCCTCCCCTTGTCTGTGCCCGACTTCTGGGAATGTGAGCATGAGCTGCTGTGCCTGGAGGAAATACAAAGTCAAATGTAAAATGGGATTTGTAACTATTGGCAACTAAATTGAATTTTTAGAAAATATTCCATAGTAAGTCTATATGCTGTCCTGCAAACCCCTGTGTATGTGTATTTATTAGATAGTGGTTCTTTTTCATTTGTTTGTTTCAAGACAGGGTTTCTCTGTATATCTCTGGATATCTACAGAACTCATTCTGTAGACCAGGCTGGACTTGAACTCAGAGATCTACCTGCCTCTGCCTCCCAAGTGCTGGGATTTAGTTAGTGAATCTTTTATTTATTTATTTAGAATCTTTTTTTAAAAATATTTATTTATTTATTAAGTATACAGTGGTCTGCCTGCATGTATGCCTGCAGGCCAGAAGAGG